TTTGTGCATGGTGAAATCATTGATATTATTGATGATTTCTGCTCGATAGAACGGAAATGGGCGATTACGACGAAGTAGCGCTCTTCCCTACAGGATAGATGCAGACAGGTTTCTTCCATAAAAACACTGCCGGTTCAGTGGGCGATGGATTGTATCCACACACACAACATTACTGCACTATCAGTTTGCGATTTTCTGGAGAAATGTATAGTATTTTGACGATTTCCACACATACTCGTTGAGCAACAAGTAAACAGCAATAACGTTGATTAACAGCAATACGGAATGGCTCTAAATAAAGGGCGAACACGAAATTATTGCGACACATTCAACAGGGCATAACTTTTTTACCATTGGGTAAAAATCAACCAATTTTTGCACACTTTCTCATTGATGTGTATTGTGTACATGCTGTCAAACTCGAAGTCGTGTTTTTCGATTCAACGAAAATGGAGGTGAACCAACGCGAGTTGAGAGAACAAATTCTTTCCAAACACCTGGAATTTCCTGACCTGTCGCACCGGCAGTTGGGAAAAATGTTGAACATTCACCATTCAACCGTCTCCAGAGTGTTGAAGCGGTTCCAGGAGCGGTTGACGTTGGACCACGCCAAAGGAGCTGGAAGAAAACCGGGACCGGAGAACAAAAAGACGGAGGGAAAGGTGAAGCGGATGATTAAAGCAAATCCCAACGTCTCAAGCCGTGATTTGGCTAAAAAGATCGGCATGTCGCAGAGCTACGTCCAGAATGCAAAGAAGAAAGCTGGACTACATACATACAAGGTACAGAACTTCCCAAACCGCGATGAGCGGCAACAATCGACGGCTAAAACTCGGGCACGGAAGCTCTACGAGAAGATGCTGACAAAATATGGCTGCTGTGTGATGGACGACGAAACGTATATAAAAGCCGATTTTAAGCAAATTCCGGGGTTGGAGTTTTTCACCGGCAAGAGCAAGTTCGATGTGGACGACAAATTTAAGAAGAAGAAAATGTCGAAGTTCGCCTCCAAATATCTCATTTGGCAGGCCATCTGCTCTTGCGGACTGAGGAGTGAGGCTTTCGTGACAAAGGGCACAGTAAATGGCGAGATCTACAAATCTGAGTGCCTCGAGAAGCGCCTTTTGCCGTTCTTGCAGCAGCACGACGAAGCTCCGCTATTTTGGCCAGATTTGGCATCATGCCACTATTCTAAAAGTGTCCTGGAGTGGTATGAGGCCAATTCTGTCCATTTTGTTCCAAAGGACATGAATCCGCCAAACTGTCCGGAGCTGCGCCCGGTGGAGCAGTACTGGGCAATAATGAAGCGGGAACTTCGGAAGAGCAAGAAGACAGTCAAAGACGAGAAGGACATGAAAGAAAATGGAAAAAAAAAACTGAGAAACTGGTACCGGATGACACTGTAAAGACTTTGATGGACGGCATCAAGCGAAAATGCGTTCAATTTTACACTCAAGGCTCCATCGATTAACTTTTCTTTTGATTTTTGAAGTAAATATATGTATAAAACTACCCTAAAATTTTGGTTTGATTCTAAACATTATAAGAAAATTGGCATGACATTTTCGGTGTTGCAATAATTTCGTGTTCGCCCTTTAGGGTCCTGATTATTGTTGCAAAAGTTAATCATTTCTCGCTCAACTATGCAAACAGACATACATTGATTGATCAATTCTCTTTGAATCACCATAGTCGCGTAAATACATTTGCGGACATTTTCAATACACAGTTTGATGAAAGAAGTAACGATCCAACATCCAATTTGGCAAATACTTCTTGATCTTGCGGTGGGAAACCGTTGAGAATCGATGATCTAATTTACAAAGTATGATTCCCAAAATGCAATGATATCGATGCCATATTTTCAATAAAATTTGGTCAATTTCCCCGGGATTACGGCCGATTTAAATGTGAACAGAGCACATTGAAAAGGAACAGGTACTAATTAATGATGTATGTAAAACAACACAAATCAACCATAATCTTGCTACACGAGTTGAAATTTGATCAAGGAAGTAAGCTTTAAAAAGCCACAATAAAATAGCGACCGGATAATTCGTAGATATTTCTAAACCTTTGTTTGAACTACAGTGACCAAATTTTCGTTTATGGGCAGTCAACTTCATAATTGTTGCCGAATAGTTGTTTAAAAAGAAACTAACAATTCTTTCTTCCAGGACAAGTGTGTGATCTCTGCTTTGGTTGCGGCCCATACTAATCCATAGCTTTATCGTACCAAACAAAATTCTAACTAAAACAAACCACATCATCGAGCTTTCGCAAAGCAACAATTGAAACAAACAAACAAAAACCGTGATGTCAAACAAAGGATTTATATTTGTTAGTGTTTAAGAGAAGTGTTATTTTTATAAGTTGTAGAGGGAAGATCTAACCGTGTCGCATAGCTTTTCTACTAAACAAACGTGATTATAAACTAAAAGAAAAGGATAACAGGAATCGCCAATCACATAGCAGAGCCTAGAAATGCGAATAAAAATGAATCGAATTAATCACAACAATTTTGGACTCTGCTAATTGCAGTAACTTTATAGTGCTTTATTGTCGACTTCGATGTACATACATTTACCAGACCAGTGTATTGAAGCTAAAGCCAAGTACTGAAGTTTGAGCAAACTGGAATTGGATACACATCAAATGATACAGTGAACCCTCATGGCAGATGCAGTATATTTATGCAATGACAGCACATAACAAATCAACGACTTGACACTGACCGATTAAACGAATTTTACATAACCATTGCATTTTATTAACAAAACTATGAAAATAATAATTTATCGAATCCGAAAGCCCAAAATAGCCTTAGGCCGAAATGAAATGTCAGTAAAAGTAATGTTCGAGAAAAAAAAAGACCTGCGTTTAACGAATTAAACCTAATTGGAGTTGGAAATGCATCCATTTACGTATAAATGTATACAATTGGGTTGTTTAACTTAAAAAAATATACCGATTTTTATACATCATCCTTTTTTGTTTGTTTCTTTATTAAAGAGACTTTCAGCCCTAGACTGGTCCATTATACATCAAGAGCAAATTTCCATTACGTCGAATGTAACAAAGGTAAACAAAGTCGAGCTATCAGTGTCAATCGATGCTCCTGCTATTACACTATATACTGTCCGAATATAGGATCACATCCAATTTTTAAATTTATTTACCAGTCAAATTGCTTTTTGACGTAATCACCTTCCGATCAAAATAGTTTTCGATGTTACTTACGTCACCCGATTTCTATGGAGATGCCGTTTGCCTTAAGTAACAGCACTGAGAAACCCGTGAAAAGTGTACTTTCGTCGTTTCGCTTTCTCATTATTAAAGTGAATAAATCAAACTGTTTGTTGCTAAGATGATTTCGGTTGATGAATGGGCTGCACGTAAGGAGACGTAATTGATAATTCTCCCGAATATCCTAGTAAATACACTTTGACTTAAGTAACAATGCCACCAAACGACGTATAATATCTTTTGACTCAAAAACCAGTATTTCTTAGCATGAAAGCTAGCGATTTGCCTTTGTATGATTAAAACCCGGCTAAATATGTTAAACATTGCTATCACTATGAGATTATATGTGTTTAATTGGAAATAGGAATAACTTTTCGGTCATCAAAACAAAACTTTATTTTTCTCGGATCGGTGCGAATGTTACTTACGACATAATGAAAATTTGCTCTTGTCATCATCTGATAGAGCTTCGTTTTCTGAGCACAACGATATTTGTATCGATCCCGTACACATTCATCTCGATTTTTAAATCAAGATTTAAATTTTTGATCGTTGACACTAAATCTATTCGTTGACAGCTCGCTCCCATACAAAGTTCAACCAAGGGGCGCTAAGATGGTCTTAGAGTTACCTCTATGCTACTACTGGATTGTACCAACAATCAATACGAAACTAACGATTTTAAATTGGCTCACTACTTGACTAGCCTATTGGTCCCAAGCAAATCCACTATCGTACCCCATTATAGTATAAATTCCAGTACTACACTATGTTTGTTTTGTTTCGCTATGAAAGTTTGATAGATAAAATGACGGATTAGTGGATTTTCCTATGTTTCGAGGGGTGAATCGATTAGCTTGGGACATAGTGTAGTAATAGAATTTCAACTAGAATAGGGTACGTTAATCGTTTGCTTGGGACCAATAGGCTACTAAAGTGGTGAGCCAATTTAAAATCGTTAGTTTCGTATTGATTGTTGGTATAATCATAGAGATAACTCTAAGACAAGTAGGTCCCGAAGAAACGTGCTCAACTTTTTGGCTCACCTCTGGTACTATCTTCGGTCCCAAGCTTGTCGAATCACCCCTCGAAACATAGGAAAAACCAATAACCCCTCATTTTATCTGTCAAACTTTCATAGCGAATCAAAACAAACATTGCGTAGTACTAGAATTTCGACTAGAATAGGGTACGTTAATCGTTTGCTTGGGACCAATAGGCTACTAAAGTGGTGAGCCAATTTAAAATCGTTAGTTTCGTATTGATTGTTGGTATAATCCCTTTTTGAGAAATTATCCTGCCACACACAATAAACCAACACTGAAACAAAGATAATAGTTAGGAATACTATTTTGCAGAAAACACTTATTTTCAGTATAACTATACGTTTAAAACCATTAAATCTACCATGATTTCAGTATAGTTGACTATAAATATAATCAAATTTACTACCATTCTGTCAAAACTACTATGCTTACTCAAACGGCATAGTAGTTTTGATAGAAAAAATAGTAAAATTAAATGAATTTCGTTGCTGCAAAAATCTATTGGTGGGAGTATTTAATTTAAACCATCAATATAGTATTTTTGCCAATGGATTTTGTTTCTGTGAAAGAGAAAGTCGATGAAGAGAATCGATCAACGAGTAAAGGCTCTTTTCAAATGTAACGCGAGAATTTTTAGTTTTTCATCCAAGATCCCCCAATTCTAATTCCCTAATAATGTTTGTAAACAAAGTCTTATTCCTCAAAAATAAAGCTAAGCTGGAAAAGGTATTTATTTAGGAATTTAAGAAGGAATAATACAAAAAGTAAATTAGTTCATAAACATTTGTTATTACTTTAAAGCAAATCAACTTATTGAAGTAAGTAGTGTAGAATCTTCAAGAACATGGAATATCTAAGCGGCGGAGGTCAAAAGAACACCGTTCGTGCTGCTTGCAAAAAGTGTGGATACGCCGGCCATCTAACTTATCAGTGCCGCAATAACCTGAAAGTAAGTAAATTTCATGCAATGTTTACATCATATCTTTAGGCTGTAGAGTAGCAAAATGACAGTGGAACCATTACCAATGATACATTTAATAGTTAAAAGACCCATAATTATTATTGATGTCGCGTCACGGATATATTTTTTTAAACTTCCCTTTATTTACACTTCTTGTTTGGAACTATAATCTTATGCTACAATGCTGTGACAAATTGCTTTGAACATTATTTGCTTATTATTCTTTATCTAACTAGATTCATTTCGTATTTTTATATTATATATATTGTCTATACAATTTATCATTTTTTGCACTCGCTTCGGTAGATCGATGAAGCCCACCAGACGATTGTGGCCGAAGAAAAAAGGTCCTGTAGTGAATCGCCTGAACTAAACTATTTGACTCCATTACAAGAACTTCGGCGCCAAGAAGAGCTAGAAGAGACTGCTCGTGCAGAAAAACGCGCCGAGAAAGAACGCAAAAAAGCTGCTAAAAAGTTAAAGAAAAAGTTGAAACGGAAACGCTCAAGAAGTCGTTCACCAATGTCGTCCAGTGAGGACTCGGAAAAGGAACATCGCCGTCAAAGAAAATCTTCCAAGAAGCACAAAAAAGAAAAGAAGAAGAAATCAAAGAGTAGCAAGAAGAAATCGCGCAAACCGGATATTAGCAGTAGTAGCGCCTGAATACTTCTACATTGTGTTAATGAGTTAATTTTAACTTTGTTTCCTGGAAGAATTTATTTCCATACTGATTTGAGATTAGAATGCAACTGCTTTCGTACACAAAGACTGCAATGACCGATTTCTAGTTACTAAAAGCTCACTCTCACGAACTAACTATACCAACTGGTTTACCTACCTGTTTGTGTTAATAGTTTACGTTGACGAATGACCTAAAGTGTGTTAAAGTGACTATAATTTAAAAATATTGCGCCCTAATTTCAAATCAGTCCGAATATTTTTCATCTACACTCAAAAAGAAAACAAACAAAAAGGTCAATAATAGACACTTATTTCTATGCAGTGAAATTAAAACTATTTTTGATACTGATACTTGATATCATAACTACTTAAAAAGGCACCCCGTGATACCCCGTTCACATTACAGCGTATATCACGTGATATACGCTGTCTTGCAATGAGCACTTATACATCTAGTTTTCACTGGAAATCCTATGTATGAGTGCTCATTGCAAGACAGCCTATATTACGTGATATCCGGAGAACTTTGAGATTTGGGCGTAATTGTTTTTGTAAACAAACATGTCAATCGCTGATTTCTCACGAATAAAAGAACAATCTCGTGAACAAACTATACCAAATGATAGGGGAAACATTCATCTACCTGTTTGTGTTGTTAGTTTTTTAGATTGAGCTTTAATACGCGAGAAATCGTCAAATGAAGTGTTTGTTTACAAAAGCAATTACGCCCTAATCTCGAAGTTTTCCGGATATAGGCTGTAATGTGAACGGGGTAACGCTTAAAAAGTTAGCTATAATCGATTGTAGTATTTTGTAAAACTTTTCGTTGGCGTCGGTGGCGGGTATGAATAAGGGGTTATTCCGAGAGTCGAAGTGACTTTTGTCACTAGTGAAGTGAGAAAAGTCACGTCGTGGTGACGTGACTCTCCATTTGATTTGCACAGACGTCACCACGACGTGAATTTTCTCACTTCACTAGTGACAAAAGTCACTTCAACTCTCGGAATAATCTCCCTTGAGTAACGGTATAATGTGATATGAGGAGCTCAGTGGCCTTAGAGCAACCGTTTTGCTTAATGAACAGAAAATCGTCTAATCTCAAGCCCATTCACATTCAATGGTTTGAATCCATTTAATGTTTAAAACAAAAATAATGTTACGTTTATTTTAAAAATAAAATTAATAGCAAATAAATGGAAATCTGCAGAGAGGGCATCTAAATTCCTGCGATTAAGGAAGGTTTATGGGTGTTTGGATCCGGGTCCGAGCGGCCGTCGGGGTGGGTGTCCGGGGGTTGCAGTTCAGTAAAACTGGTGATATTAGCGTCGTTTTGTCGTTTCTGACGCTGGTCCTCATACCGGCCTCTTTCTACGTTTGGTGTTGGGGGATGATCTGTTTTTCTTTCGACGTCGGGTGGGGGTGAGGATGATATGGGGATTGACATCAGTAACGACGGAGTGACGTTGATATTGTGGGGTTCCACCGGTTTTGTCGAGCTTGGAACACTTCCGGGTGGGTGCGTGGGTTTCCGGATCCTCTACTTCGGTTTCGCCGCTTGCAGGCCGTTTTCAGTTGAGTTTGCCGAATGTAAACAAGAAGGAAAAAAAGGACACGCTAAAAGTTGTTTACCCAGATGATGTATTGTTGAAATAAACATGGTTTTGAATTTAATTCAAACATACATATTTTTGTTGAAGATATGATTTTAATTTACTTTAAACTATTCATAATAAACATATATATTTATATGTTCCGTGTACTTGTGCACCAACTCTCAAAACACACTTACACACCGCTGGATACAAAAAAAAACACACCCGTGCAAAGAAACGGACCCAATAAACGTAGTTCTCGCGAAAGCAAACCCGTCGTCTTCGAACGGCAAAAACAAGGAACTCGGTGAGCAATTTTGTGATACGGAATTGCCACTTAAAATCACCCGGGAATGTACGAATTTCACCACACCCAACTGTGAAACACGTTCAGAAGCACCTTTGATACACTTTCGGTATCAATTTCGATCGAATCGATTTTGCAAAAATAGTTGCGAGCGAACCAACATCAACACCGACCGTGCCGAGCTCTTTCACGCACCTTTTACAGCGCGTAAATAAACTGGCACGGATTATGCGGATTGAAAATAGGGATTACTGTAATAGCCCTGAAATTATTACATGTCACAAAACTAACACACTAATAAACGTATATCATGTGATGTGATACCACCACCGTTATTATTGAAGGTATACAATAAATAGTGTTTTTGTCTGGCTAGGAACAACATTTATTTCATTAGTACAGTGCTAGTAGGTATGTTCATTAAATTTTCTTTCAAAGTGCGCTATTTTTTTTGTCCACATTTCTTATCATTGTGATCTGAGTGAATCAAAAAATTCGCACTTATTCTACATCATGGAAAGAATGTAAATCGCATACAAATTGAATTGAATGCCGTGAAGCTACACTCGAATGAATTACTCGAGAGCAAAAAATAAAACAACGTTGATTATAAAATAACATATAATACGTAGAATAAGTTTAGTTTTTGATTGCAGCTTTAATCTCATTTAGCAACATTGAGCCAACTACCATTTTGTCGCAATTGACAGTCAGTGAGCATTCAGAACCATCTTTCGTTTGCAGCACTATTAGAACCAAACTCTTCGAGCTCATCGTCTGCGCAGCAAAGAAAACTTTATCCTCCTCCGAACTAGAAATATTGGCCACGTTGGCCACCTCGAAAATCTTCTGATGCAAGGACTTGTTCTGCACCGATAGAGCAGCATTTAATGGAAAACTGGAGGAATGTTCTGTCATACCTCTGAGTTTAGCACGTTCCGTAAGGAAAAGTGATTCCGGTAATGTGACCGATCGAATGAGTTCCCCAACTGGGGCTTTCAGTGTAACATTACTTACACGACTGTTGGACTTGATTTCAAAATTTGCTGGGTGAGTAGAATCATTAAAATCCAGACCAAGAATACCTGTCCACGATTGCTTCGGATTGAGAATCTCGATCATAGGAGTTTCATTTAGGGACATTTCTGCTTGAAGACCTCTCTGGCCAATCTGGACGTCAGTTAGCTCCATATTTCCGTGGTTGGTGAACGTTAGTTCAATTGATATCATTTTAGCGGAATAAAGATGCGGAGCTCGCGTGAAGCGATACGTAATTCCAAGTCCGAATCCATTAACTTTGTTCAACAATTCTTGGAACTTGTTAGGAATGAAACTGGGACCAACTAAATCAACTACATTAGCCAATGCCGGATTGTCGGAGTTTAATCCAGTCATTGGAGTTAAAAAACCGCCAAGAGAGGGTGTCATTATCGGTCCAACCGGTGGAATATCATCCAAATCTAGCAGTAAATCTAGATTACTCTTCTGCGATGGTTTGTTCGTAGTGTTTGCTTTTGCAACTGCTTTGTTCGGTTTCACTGGTTTGGATTCAGAGCTTGATCCACTATCTTCGTCACTGGATGAGCTATCGTAGCTGCCACTGCTACTACTGCTGTCCCCACTTTCCTCCTCTGATCCTGAGGAAAGCGATTCGAAATCTTCTTTTGATTTGGTGGCACCATCTACTTCGTTGTATAATGTTTTTGATATCTCGTTACCGTTGTCGTCATCCGAATCTGAAGCCGCTCCGGAGCCCGAACCAGATTCTATTGAACCGCTTGAGCTGGAACTCGATTCAGAGCTGCTTTCATCTGCGGAAGAGCTCTTGTCCGATTCCGAGTAAAAGGATTTCGTTTTTGCATTTTTCTTATCTCTTGTTTTTCCTATATGAGCTTCATCATCATTGCCTGCCTCATCAGCCGCGTGCGTTGGTTGGCCATAATCCGGAGGCATCTCGACATGGCGGACCGAACTATCTGGAGCAACCTCCGGGAATGGAGGTAAGTCTTGATAACCATTCGCTCTCATGTTCAAATAGTGTGAAAGAGAACCCAACTGGAAGCGCTTTCTGCCATGATATTTGCTTTCCAGTGTTGGAGCTGGTTTCTCGGCTAGAAATATGTTCTTTGCATTCTGTGACAGTGTAGTCTGCTTTCCTCCAGCTGGAAATATAAACTGCTTCAAGAATCTTGCTCGATCTCTTATGTCGTAATTTTGATCGTATCGAGCCAAATTGAACACATACTGACAGAGTAGTTCCGTTTGCTGCGGATTAGTCAGATACAATTTCACGGCGAGATTCAAAATTTGCAGCTTGACAACATCCTCTTCTTCGATGAACGACTTGGCCAGTTTGCGTAAAACATCTGGCGCAATTTTCGGCACTTTTTCGTTGTATTCGCCAATCAGCCATAGAATCGAGGCACGTGCTGCTGGAACCTGTATGAAGTCCAACAGCTTGGCCATTTGCGTGATAATATCGAAATGTTCTTCTTTTTGAGTCTGCAGCAGCTTTTTGATGACAACAACACTCTCGGCAACGACATATTCTGAAATTGAACAAAATAGATAATGGTTAAGAAAAGGCAAACCAAAAACGGAACCTAGTCATTTACCATCTTTGTTTGACAACAAATGAACCAATCCGTTCAGACACGTGTCCGTTACTTCTTTAATTGAAGCAGCGCATCGTCCAATGGCTTGAATGGTCGAGGCAACAAAATCCTTATCGTTACTACTTATGTAGGTCTGGAACTCCCGAAGGATCACTGAAATACTTGTCTCCGTTGCTAGATTTGTCAGAATATCTAGCTTCAATAGTTTGATGTGTGTTTGATCGCTAGATCTCACGAAGAAAGATTTCAAATACTGTTCGAAAATGGACTTCCTCTCCACCGACATCGATGCAATGCATGTAAGCACGACGCTTTGGACTTCCTTGTGACTTCGCAGTAGCCGAATTATTGCTTTAGCTACAATTGTGACTTCGCTTTTAGGAGCAATGTGGTGGTAAAGCTGCACTACGGCCATCACGACGGAAGCATTTCGGCTTTGCAGCAATGGTTTGGCCTGGCGCAGTATTAGCCGATGGTCAATGTCCAAAGAGTAGGTTTTCCTCGGAGATTTCAGCACATTTTTCGTTTGTTCCGATTCTGATGATGATTCGTCGTAGAAGGGTTTATTCTCCTCGTCATCTTCATTGTTAAAATCCTAAAATGTATTAAAAAATAATTACACGCTGCAACTAACTCCTTGTTCAACATCACACATGCTTACATCAACATTCGGATCCACAAACTGTGTTCTGGCATATCGGGTTAGCATATTGATGATTAGAACTTGACCCCATTCGTCAACGTCAACCAGTAGGTTACACAATTTCCGGTAATTTTTGTGAATAAGATCCGTCCGCTCGGGACAAACCTCCTCAAACGCCATCACCGCAGAACCTACCACAAGGGTAGTCCTATCAGCCAACAGCTTCTCAATTACAGTAATTAGTTCATCCTTTTGCTCTGGATCCAGGTGGTACAGCTTCGGAATTGCATGAGCTGCAGTTTTGCGCACATAGGGACTCATATCCGATGCCGAATCACGAATTGCTAGCATCACAATCGGAACAATCATCGACACTCTAATACTCGACAGAACCCTAAGGGCACTAGCCCGAATCAATTGGTTCGGATCTTTCAAAGCACGCTGGAAGGTCGATATTGAAAGTAACGCCAGGTCCTGTTGTTCTTCCGCATAACGAACTAGATAGACATAAACCAGCTTTTTTACTTCGATATTCTTCGAGACCACATTTTTCACCACAGCTGGGAACAAATCCGATGCATCCCGTCCTTTTGCAATCATGCCGATAATCCTCTTCATTGCCTCTAGCTTCAGGCTATCCTTGTTGCTGTCCAGCATTTGCTTCAAATCATCGTGCCTAAAAACATTCCCACTTAGTAAAAATTCTAAAAAATAATGCATTTTACGAAGTTACTTTTTATAATCGGCATGAAAAAATCCTCCTTCGTTAGCATACTCGACCACGTCACTGCGGTCATTGCCGTAATTCGCAGCGGTAAGAGCGCTGACTCCAATAGCCGCCGATCCTGACGATAGCATTTTGCAAACGATCAGAATTATAACAGTGCACTGAAGGTTTAACGGTTAATTTACGTTAAGGCTCGAAATAAATTGCAAATATCTTATAATTTGATATAGAAAATACGCAAACAGTAATCCGCTGCTTTTTTTTTTCTTTGTGTTGTCCTTATTTTGGACGGCTAAGACCGCTCACGGTCCATCTCGCCACTGTGGTTGTCGTGTTTCGTGTTTGGTGGTTTCTTCGATGTTGTATCGTCGGTTTCAGTTTATGTTTGGATTTTTGTTCGTTTAATGAAAGCTACAATTTCTTTCAGGTCCGTCTCGTTGTTCTCTTTTAGGATGGTGGTCAGCGGTTTGCAGTATTCTAGCACGATATGCTCTGATCTTTCGATGTTGAACTTGGGGCAGTAGTATAGTAGGTGCTGTAGGTCTTCCGTTTCGTCGCACAATTCGCAACTATCGTTTATTTCCCACCCCCACTTGTATCTGCGCTCCTTTGTGTTTGTGTGTCCTGTGCGTATCCGCCCGATGATGGTTTTCTCTTCTGTGTTCAGGTTTAATCCATGGAACCAGATTTTTTCCCCCGGCGTTTCCATTATTTCCAGGTGCCATATTCCTTTCTCCTCGGAAATTTTTCTGTACGATGTTATCCAGTCGTCCCAGATGTCAGCTTTCGCCAGCAGGATGGCGTCGGGTAGTGTCAGGGAGTTGTAATTTGTTTGTGGTCCTTGAGTGGCTCGAACCGCTTCTTCATCAGCCTTTTCGTTACCCGGAATCCCTTGGTGGCTGGGAATCCATTGCAGCTTGATCTTGTAGTTCCTGTCTTGTTTCAGCAGTTTGACAATTTCCCACGCCAGGAAGTTTTCATTCTGCTTGCTTCTGTTTCGGATGGTTTGACAGGCTCCCTTGGAGTCGGTGAAAATCACTGCTTTGTGATATTTTTTCTCCTTTGCGAGTTCAATGGCCGAGCGAATAGCCAGTAGTTCGGCGTTGGTGATGGTGTAATTAGGGTTGATTTTCTGCGTCAAAACTTGCTGGTCTGTGTGGTCGTACACCGCCAGTGCCGTTCCCGTCGTCGTTTTGGATGCATCCGTATAGAGGTGGTGAAAGTCTTCATAGTAGAGATTCTTTATTTCCAGGAATTTTAGGTTCCAGAACTGCTGGCTGTAGTTTTCTTTTTTGTTTTGGTGCTCAAACATGTCCTCTTTGATGTTCCTCTCCAGTGTGTAGTCCGAGTACTGCCGTCTATTCAAGAAGGCTATTTCGCTGTCTTTCGGGTTCATTTGGCATATGATGTAGTTGAATTTGACGGCCGTTTCCGTCCAGTAGGATCCGTTTCCCAAGTTGTTCCTGATTGAACGATCGGAGAAAGGCTGTAGCTGATTGGTGTGGTAGGTGCTTTTCAGGAGCTCCTTCAGAGTGAGCAGCTCCCTTCTGATGTCCAGCGGCGTCTGTCCGGTTTCGGCGTGGATCACATGGATTGGTGTGGTTTTTAGGTAACGCATAGCGCTGCGAAGGTACGAGTTGTGTACAGTTTGTAGCTTCTGAAGGTTTGTTTTGGCCGCATTTCCGTATATTTGAGCTCCATACTCTAGTCGGCTGCGGATGATGGCGTTCCCAATCTTGACTAGTGTGTTCGGGTTGGCACTGCTGCTGCGCTTCCCGAGCATCTTTATTATTTTTACTTTTGCGGCTGCTTTGTCTCGGATGTCCTCGATGTGTTTTCTGTGTGTGAGAGTCCTGTCGACTGTATATCCCAAGTATCGATGAGTGTTGTTCAGGTCCACGTTCTCTCGTCCTATCCTGATCCTTACTACGCTGGTGTCTTTTCTCGTGAAAGCGACTGCAGCGCTTTTGGAAACGTTGATTTTGAGTTCCAGTCTGGTGAGCTCAGTTTGGAGCTGGGATAGATAGTTGTTGGCTTTTGTTGCTGCATCTTCTGGACTGCTGCCGGTTGCCACCACCGCAAAGTCATCCGCGAACTGGACGAGTTCACATCCTTCGTGTTCTATCCGGTGCAGACCACTGGTGTAGAGGTTGAAGAGGATGGGTGACAGTGGGCATCCTTGGGGGAGGCCTTCGCTAACCTCTCTGTGAGCGTCTCCTTCGTTTGTTTTGAGGACAAGATGTCGGTCGCTGAGGTAAGTGTGAAGCCAGGAGATGATCTTGTTTGGGATGCTTAAGGTTTTTAGGGTGTTGAGCAGTGTTTGCAGGTTCACGCAGTCGAAAGCCTGTGATAGATCGAGGAATACGACGACGGTGTCCTTCTTTGCCAGCTGGGCGTCCTTCACCTTGTTGACGACGTAGTTGACGCAGCTCTGTGCCGAACGGTGTTTCCGAAAGCCAAACGATCGAGGAGGGTGTAAATTCTCTATTTCTGCTATATCAGCCAGTCTGCTGTTGATCACCGAGTTGATCAGCTTGAGATTGATGTTCATGAGAGCGATGGGTCGGTTCGATCCTGGGTTGAGTGGGTCACCTTTGTTTTTTGGAATTGGCTTTATTTGGGTGGTCCTCCACCTTTCCGGAATTACTTCCGAAACGAAGACTTCGTTGAGCATCTCACATACCTTAACTTGCATGTCTAGCCTGAGGTTCTTCAGGATGCCGTAAGACATGCCGTCTTCTCCTGGGGCCGAGTGGGACTTTTTCTTTTTTAGGGCTTCCAAGATTTCCTCGACCTGGAGCGCCATTTCGTAGCCCTTTAAGTGGGAGGGGGTTACGGATGTGGGTTTCCCAACCGGTTTTAACTTCCCATCGTAGTAGTATGCGAGGAACTGTACTGCGTCATCCAGCGTGGTTTCCGGTTTTCTGCTTACCGGCTGGGTTAGCGCGGTATCCAAACCCTTGATGATGTTCCACAGCTGTCTGGGGGGAGTGTCCTCGTCAACTGTTTCAGCGAGTTCCTGGCAATAAGCCCGTTTTGCCTTCCGAATGAGCCTCTTGAGGATAGCCCGTGCTTTTTGGAGTTCTAGGTGGTTGGTTATGCTCTTGTTTCGGTTGTAGATTCGGAGCTTCTCTCGTTTGGTCTTATAGCATTCGTTGATGTCCTCGGACCACCAGCGCTTCAGGTAATTTCCTTTTTTATCTTTGATTATGAAGCTGGCTTGTTCTATGCTATCCTCGAATATTGTCTGCATTTCGTCGGGGTTATAGATGTATTGAGGCTTCAACTGGTTGATCAATTCCGCTGCTTTGTCCTTGTTGACCCGTTTCATTTTTCCTAGTGCCACCGGAATCTCACTTGCGATTTCGATGACTATCGATAGATGGTTGCTTCCGAATTCTTGTGGGACCACTTCCCAAGAAGCCTTGGTTGCTAGACCGGCGGTTGCCAGAGAGAGGTCGATCGCTGTGCTGCTTCTGTTGACCGTGGACATACATGTTGTCGTACCGTCGTTCAGGAGGATAAACTTGGAGGGTTCCAAGATGCTGTTGAGCAGGTTTCCTTTGTAGCAGTTGGTCGCACCGGGGTCCCAGCTTCGATGGTGACTGTTGAAGTCGCCTCCGATAAGAATTTCACCATCCATGTTGTCCAGCTTCTCGAAGAGTTCCAGTATCTTGCTTCTGATTTCACTGAGAGGACTATATCCAGAGGGAACGTATACGGAAACCAGTGTGAGCGGAAAAAACCCCTTGGTTATTTTGACCCCTACAACTTCGACCGGTAGAAGGTCCTCGAACTGTACCGTTTCGTAGTCCAGGGTCTCGTGTACTAGAATTCCGACTCCCCCGTATCCTTGATTTCGCCTGGCAGATTCCAGTCTAAAGTGAGCCAATCTAAAATTTTCTTCCTTCCTGAGCCAAATTTCCTGCAACAGTGCCACGCCCACCGAGTTTTCCGAAAGGAACTGGCTGAGCTCTTCGCGGGTATCGACAGGGCGAAGGCTTTGGACGTTGTGCTGCAAGATTATCAGCTTTTTACACTCCACTGTGAAAGCTTGTGTTGGTTCTCGTGGTTTCTCCTTGGAGCGGTTGCCCCTCGATGATTGATTGGATGTCTTGTCCGATGTCGACGAGTAGTTGGTCCCTGTCCAACTCTGACTCCGCGTGTTGTACCCTTAAGCCGATCTTTTGTTGCAGGTCTCTCAGTGCTCCTACCCAGCGTTTGTGTCGCACCTCTGCGAAGAATTGTTGCCGCAGCCACGTGATGAAGCGTTCAAAGTCCGTTGCCTTGAAAGGGTTCTTCTGGCATATGGGACAGGTCGAAGCGAGTTTCCTTAGCCCCCCACGCTCACCTTCCTCGTTGGGTGTGGTGGGTTCCTGCCTTTCCCGACTCATGTCTCGGGAGCGAGAAGACTGTCTTCTCTGGGGCCTAGGTCCTGCGAACGGCCAGTTGGGTTGATCACTTCCTCCGAGCCTTGGGAAATCACCTTCATTTCCCTCGTCTCCCAGCTGGTCCAGGAGATTGAATCGATTTTGTAGCTTCGGGAAGTGGGTTTCTGCCTGGGTGAAAGTGATCTGCCTCTCCCTCATAGTTTCTCGAATCTTCACGTGTCTTTTCCTTTCTAGGCACTCGATATCGCTTGCTCCATGTCTGAGTTTGCAGTTTGGGCATTTAACGTCCATGTTGCAGTCTGCCGTTGAGTGCGTGCCTCCACAGTTGGCGCATCTTGCACGAGAGGTGCAGAACTTGGCTCCATGTCCGAATCTCCAGCAGTTCCTGCACTGGCGGATGGGAAAAATGTACAATTCGGGCCTGAAGTTACAACCGAAGATCTTTACCCATTTTGGCACTTGCGCACCCTCAACTGTTACCTTGATGTTCGTTGTGTCCAGAAGCTCTCCATTCCTGCTCCGTCGCTTGATGCGTTGAACTTTGGTCGCTCGGTGTTCTGCTTCTATGTTCTCCAACATCTCTTCCTCATTGAAGCTGGTGGGGACTCCCCTGATGAAGGTGATGGTATGATCCCTGCTCTTGGGTTCGTACAGTCTCAAGTTGGCATCTGCCAGCTTTAACTGTCTCAGCTGGGTTTCGAACTCGGTGTCAACCTTGAACCTGAATTTCCCTAGCTTGGAGATTTCAGAGAAATCGTGGAACCCTTTGTCCCTTAGGTATTTTCCAAGGAGGGTAGGATGACTTGGGAAGTCTTTTCCAATGTCGATCATCTCGAGGACTACGGTTTTGCGTTGGGCTTCCTCGTTGTGTGCCCCGTCTTGCGTTTGCTGTTCCGGTGTGTTACTTGCAGCTTCCTGGTCCTTTTTTTTCGTCTGTCTGGTGACCCGTCCAGCCCCGGTCTTCCTGCTGTCAGCAATACGCTTGATCCTTGCTGCGGCCTCCGCACTTGATCCTGCCATGGTAGGTCCGGAGAGAGCTTGCTATGTCGATAGGTTTCACTCCCTGATTCAACGGCTTACGTATTTCCGTCTTCCCGAATTTCCCCGGAAAATTCCCGTTTCGGGCAGTCGATGGCCTACACCAACTATAATTTCTCTTCTGTTACTACTTACAACCCTGCACCCTCGAGCCGACGAGTTGAGGTTAGGTTTGAAATTCCCTTGGTTCTCCTCAGACGATTCTTGCGTTCCTTCCGGTATCCCCCTTCTTCACTGAATTCAAGAAAATTGACGGAAAAATTGGTCCGATTCGGGTACGATTACTAGCTGGAAATCGCACTTGTAGCCTGATACGCCGCAGGCTTATAAATCGAACACCACGGGACACTTCCAGCAAACACAAATGGCTGCCATAGATGAATCCGCTGCTTTCACTTCGCACTTTTTGTTGACTGTTCCAGGGATGCATGAATGACAGCTGATTAAAATTGGGCGATCTTTGAGAGATCGATCTTTTTGATCTCGATTTTCGATTTTTAGGATTGATTCTTCGTGATTGGCTGATTTGAAGTGCGTAGATACACGAAACGAAAATCATTTTACATTTTTGCCAAAACATCAGCCTTATACATTCCATAAGACAAACCACATAGGTCCTATAAGAATGCATAAAAGGTATGTGTGACCGCTTATACATTTCATTTGACGCATGATCTTCATTAACTTTTTGCAAGGCGTCTGCTTATTAGTTAACTTCTCGCGTCACTTTTCAAATAGACCAATGTAACATATCCACCATTTTGAGAAAATCGAAGTTGAAGTTCGACAGATTATTATTTTAACTGTTTAAAAACAATACATTTTGCAATACTATTTTTAATGTAGTCAGTGTATAATAACGTTGAAAATTCAGAATAAACGGTAAAATCACAATATTACTTTGAATTTCATGCTGCAACATAGAAAAAACCACATAGGACATGTTGCATTGGACGATTTTTCTCAATGACATACACAATGAGTGTTACATTGGACGTTTTGTCTACATGATACTAGATTCCCTTTCACAGATTTCAGAGTATAGTACCTAACTTTAGATTGGCCCCGCCTTTGGAAAATGAGCAACAATCATGTTAGGCAGTCCGAATGACCGAAGTAACAATCATGTACCCATCATTTCAAACTGCACATTGGATAATTTTTGATTAATGATTATCTTAAATAAATGAAAGTAAATTTGGATGGATGTTTTTGTTTCACATACAATGATAGAAGAGCAATAGTTTGTATCGCTTAACTCGATTTGTTTACATTTGTTACATTGGTCTATTTGAAAAGTGACGCGAGATTTAATTAAAGATAGAGATAGAGATAAAAGAGTAAAAAGCCAGTTATCTCCTCTTCCTCTTATACCACAGACAGACAAACAAATTAGTACCGTTGTACTTCTTTAATCTAGTACCTCAAAACGTACAATTTGTGGTACTAGCTTAAAGCAGTACAACCACAAACGAAGTGACAGACGACTTACTGGCGAAGAAATCCATTAAAATAATGTGGTTCACTGTAATAGAATTTTCTTGGAAGCTTGTGCCATCATCCACCAGATGGGTTAGTTTTTTTGTTTTGATTTGAACAAAGTTGATTTTGTGTACAATGATTCTTTGACAGAGTGCAAAGAGTGCGTATCATTTTGTCATTTTTTTATGCATTTCAGTTTTGAGTAGAGTGAAAGAGATAGAACCAAAATATTCTCGTACATTTGGTGAAAATGCTAGTTCAATCCAATAGTAGTGTTGCCATGTGGTACAATCCAGTAGTAGTGGTGTTGCCATGTGGTACACTGAAAAATTGCAATAGAAGGTTAGTCACCAAAGTTTTCGAGCCGCTCCGTCTGTCACTTCGTTTGTGGTACAACCAACAATCAAAACGAAACTAACGATTTTAAATTGGCTCACTACTTGACTAGCCTATTGGTCCCAAGCAAATCGACTAACGTACCCCATTCTAGTATAAATTCCAGTACTACACTATGTTTGTTTTGATTCGCTATGAAAGTTTGACAGATAAAATGAGGGGTTAGTGGATTTTCCTATGTTTCGAGGGGTGAATCGATTAGCTTGGGACCGAAGATAGTACCAGAGCTGAGCCAAAAAGTTGAGCTCGTTTCTTCGGGACCTTCTGGTCTTAGAGTTACCTCTATGGTACAACGGTAGTACAACGGTAGTACAACCATAGAGGTAACTCTAAGACCACTGGGTCCCGAAGAAAATCATTATTATTTTTGGCTCACTCAGTACCAGAACAACGGTCCCAAGCAGTCCCAAGCTATTTCACTCACCCCTGCATGTTCTGCATGAATCCACACACCCCTGATGTTATCTGTCATACTTTCATAGCGAATCAAAACAAACATAGTGTAGTAATAGAATTTCAACTAGAATAGGGTACGTTAATCGTTTGCTTGGGACCAATAGGCTACTAAAGTGGTGAGCCAATTTAAAATCGTTAGTTTCGTATTGATTGTTGGTACAACGGTAGTACAACGGTAGTACAACAGTGAACTTTGTATGTCTGTACAAGGTATTAGATTAAATCGATTCTAGTACCGTCAATAAGATCGATCTTTTACTAAAGATCGCCCAATCCTACAGCAAATTCGGAGGTTTCGATGTAACGAATGAACTGCACGCTATTTCAAAACTCCCAAATTTGATCCACCCAGATCAGTCAATACTGAACCTACCCAAAAATGGGTAAACTATGTTGGGAGTGACTAGTTGACAAATGAACAACGTCGAACGGATTCATGCTAATGTTGTTCATTTGTCAACTAGTCCCTCCCAACACAGTTTACCCATTTTTGGGTAGGTTCAGTTTAGACCGATCTGGATGGATTTTACCCAAAATTTGTGAGTTTTGAAATACCGTGTAATTGAATGAACTAAAGCTCGGCGCCCGGCCGCAACCAACCTGGTCTATACAAGGTGTGGAGATCTAGCCCTGACGTTTGTGTTGGAAGAGGAAAAAATGTAAACTTTGCGGGAGACGATGGTGACGACGTCTTAACGCTCTAAAGCAAATTTGCGAAATACGAAGTAAAACAAATCCTAGTAATTTTTGCAAGATAATTTTGCTTGATTGTATTCTTTTGTGAAGTCGCCGGGAAATATCCGCTGGCGATTTGTATTTTTATGATAACTCCTTACTTCAAAAGAGACAAAAACTCACAAACAGGCTGCTTTTTCATGGTTTACAGTGTGATAATTCAATAATCAATAAATTATCTCAACATTTAGTGGCAAACCATTCATATTTTTTGGTAGCTTACATAAATTGTATAATCCATATTAAATTTCTTATGCAAGCGACGATCGAAACAAACGTTATGACGTCACTACAAGGGTGATTGAGCGAACGAAAGAAACGAATCGTGCGAAACGAAAAGAAAGCAGAGTGAAAAACGAAGTGCACCAATACATTTAGGCCTACAATTCCACACCTTGTATAAACCAGGTTGGCCCGGCCGCCCGGCGTAAAATGCATCCACTCACCACAAGCATGAACAGCGCTGAACAACAACATCAACAACAAAATTTGTGTCACTTATCAGTAAACCACTCAAACCAACTCTAGTGCGTTGATGTCATGTCGACATCGAGCTTAATCTAACAGACACCGAGCAAACTGTCATAATTAGCTATAACTCAAGAATCAATTCATTAGCATATCAGAATCCGAAACTGCCATTAAGTTCGCAAATCTCGGAGTCGCACTCGCAAGTTTTTCAATCATAACATTTTTGTTCTTGTATCTCGTCTATCCCTGAGCTTGTCGGTATCATCTGTATCATCGGTCCGTTTTTTTTTCTGTACAATCCGGTTTGTTTTAATTCTTTCTTGCAGCAACTGGTCTAGTGAGTTAGTGTGAGCTAATACTGAATAGCCTTTTTTTCATCTCTTGTCTTGCATTATTCGGAATACAGCCCGTCTTCATTTGGCATTCATATAACCTCTGGGTAAGATTGTTATCAGTGTTATCAGTAAACGCAAAGTGCAAATCGCATAAAATCATTTAATGAGAGTGTAATGTCAATATTCATTATTGTACTCCGTTTTCAGGTGCAATGTTACGTATTCTGCTTAAAAATTTGCCAAAATCTGGCGCCGGTAGCCAAATAGCTAGATATTCGTCTATTCCGGCACCAAAAACCGCTCCTGAAATCCTCTACACCGGGGTAAGTAGGACCTTCCTTTCCCCTGCGCAATCGTTAGCTGGCAGAATTTTAAACAATTATACATTTTTTGTATACATACCTACATCGATAGATCTTTATTAACAATGAATGGCACAAAAGCATCGGAGGCAAAGTGTTCCCCACATTGAATCCAGCCAACGAGCAAATTATCGCCGAGATTCAGCAGGGCGAGAAGGCTGACATTGATGTGGCGGTTAGTGCAGCGCGGGAGGCTTTCAAGTATGTAATTGTAATTTATGTATTCTATGATACTCTGCTGGTAGAACCTCCTAACAGGTCAAGGATAAAATGTATGCATTTTCAATTGAGAATCTATTACTAGGATCTGATTCCGTATAAACTTACTGTTGTATCATATTCTTTACGAGTTTTTCTATAACACCACTAATGGTCAAAATGTCGGCAATATTTGACAAAAATAATAATAATTTAAATAAAACAATAGAGCTAATGTGCGATTACAGCAGCTACAATCGTTACACTTTACTCTACAGGCTACAATTGTAACCTGTAGAGTAAAGTGTAACGATTGTACCTGTACTTTGTTTGAATACTTTCTAAATCAATAACAAACCCAAATTGAACTAGTTCGTCATATTTACGCACATATTATTTGTGTCGCCTATTTTCCAAAGTAGACCGAATATTTAATAACAAATTAAATGCTCGGATAAGCCGTGTGGTATTCCGTATATTATGGTATTTCCCAAGTAACATTCAGGGTGGCCAGCGAACCGGGAAATATCCGGGAATTTGAAAAGTAACCGGGGAAAACCCGGGAATTCAACGAGAGAACCCGGAAAAATAAATTTACCTTACCATAGGAACAAATTATTACACCAGAATGTCAGAATAAACCATTAAAGCAGAGTGATTTTTTACAAAATGAATGTCTTGCTCTATTTGCTGAATAATGTTCTTCAGTTTCCAGTCTTATTGTTTGTAGAATTTAATCACTCAGCAATATTTCAAATTGATTTTTGTCGTTTCTATTTCAGATGTAAAGTGAATGGGCCTTAAAAGAAAATATTGATGATGCTGGACTTAGGAAACAAATATTTGTAAAAACCGAATCTGAACTATTCTTTTACGGGGTTTCAATTTTTCGTTATTCAAAATTCTCATGATATGAATTCCAGAACAAACTTGGAATTCTGCTCTGAATTATCATGGGATTCTTCTGAAATTGACCAGAAAACACTCCGCGTAATAATTACCGTTGAATTCTTTTTGGAACTTCCTTGAAACCCCTTCTAAAAATTTGATTGAAAGAAATCCTTAGAATTCCCTTGAACCTATTCGGAGACTTTGATTCCTTTGAAATTCTTTTCAAAATTTTATGTTAACTCTATTCAAAGCATCAGAAATCTTTCGAAGTTTTATTTAGAAACCCTTGGAGTATTTTAAAGAATTTCTTTCTAATTATCAGTAATTTTTTTGCAATCAAATTAGTTGGAGCTCTGTGATGAATCTTTGCACTAGGGTTGAAATTATTCCCAGAACACTATTAGAAATCTGTTTCTTGTTGAATTCTCATCATAATTCTCTTTGAATTCTTCTTCAAATTCATCTGTCATTTTCCGCACGATCCCCATACAAAACTCCTCAGAATCACGTAGGAATTTTCCTTAGTTTTTTTTTCAAAACTCATTTTTTTTACTTCTTTTAAAATAACCTAAGAATTTAATTTAGAACTTGAATTCTTCTCCACAGAAATACCTCCAAATTCTTCTAACAATTTCTATTGACTTTATGTCAGAATAATGCTGGAATTCTGCTCAGAACTTCTCCTTTGAAAATTATGTGGGAATCCTCCTGAATAATTGTTTGAAATTAACATTTTGAATACTTTTAAATTTTACTAAAAATTCCAGAAGTCATTAAAAAGTCACTTTTTTCACCAAACAGTCACTAAAGTCACTATTTCCTAAAATTTAATCACTAAAGTCTTTTTTTACTTCTAATATTGAGAATCAATGCCCGAACGCAATGCTAGTGGAAATGGAACAGCAGTGGCAGCGGAAAAGCCCGATATGAGCCTTCTTGTCGGGTAGGAAACTAGTTAAAACCAAATTTACTCTGGTTAGACATCTTGGATTCATTTGTGACAACTGTTACAAGGGGACTTCATTAATTTTCAAAAAACTAAAATTCCGTTCATGAAAATATGATCATTGCATTCTACTGGCCTACCATAGTGGACACATTTTAGTATTTGTTTTCTCCAAATCTCCTAGCATCACAAAGATTTTTATTTATCACAAATTTTGAAGAAAAGTACTAGTTTCAGACTCTACACGAATGTCAAAGCCCCAGAATTTTGGGAATCTTGTTAAATCATATTTTGTCTTATCGTTTCAATAAATTCCTTTCAGTGAATAAACTTTCAGTAATATTCTTCAAGTATTGGCCTATTGGACGTGGGTTTAAAATTACATGAACCATGTTTAGTTTCACGTTGAGCGAGTTCCAACGTTAGTAGTTTTCACATATTTTTTTCGTGTTTTACTTTGTACATCAGCGCGAGTACTGAAAGTTTAATATTTGTGTTAGTACAGACAACGGAGTGAAGACACATTTTCTTTATCCGATATCCCTAACGATTTCCTCTAATGCTCATTTGTATCAAGTTCGCCGGGATGTTCTGAGGCATAATATCTCTGATCACGCCTTCCTTTGTTGGTCCTCGGTTCATGAGTTGATGGGTCGATAGGTTAGGGTCCAGGCCTCTCTGGCCTGGCGTCGGTAGCATTAGGGCTCAGCACGGAAAAAAGATCGATGGAAAACAAATTGTGTTTTTAAAAATGCGTAAAATTTCGTTTTTTTTTTAACATTTACAACCGGAAGTTTGTTAAGATTTGAACCGGGAAAACCTGGAATGATACCGGGAATTTCCAAATGAGAATTCACTGGCCACCATGAAAATTTTATGTTTTATGAAATACTACAAAGCTACTATAAAACAACATCAATAAAACTCTGGTCAAGGCTACTTTGCCATTGATGCATCCTTAAAAACCTCATTGAGGCTGGAATCTGTCTAGTTGGCCCACCCTCAAGAAGGTTCTGAAGGGTGTATTCTCGAAGCTCTTCAATATTGATTTACTGCAAAATGGTTGTATGACAAACGTATTGAGAACCATCGGAAAACCGTATTTAAGCTATTTGGCAACAATAAAAATCATGTTCCGACCCATTTGCCCTAGCCGCTTGCTAAATTCACTAGAAAACATCAATCAAGTCAACAAAAGGTTCATAAATACCATCCGATGTTATCGAAATAATTAAAATAAAAGCTGATCGTATAAAAATACTGTCGAATTTCCAAAATTATTAAAATAGTTCTCATGAAGTGGCCTACACTCAAAAAATTTATCACATATCTAATGGATGAAAACCATGTGAATTTCACATAGCTTTCATGTGATCACATAGCTTAAAATCCCACCATAAAATCACATGAATATTATGAGGCCGGTGAAATTCATATGAAAAATCATATAAAATTAACGTGATCGCATAAATGTTACGTGAAATTCAAATGAATTCCATTAATTTTGTTTATGGATGAAAATCATTTGCGTTTCCAATGGAAGCTACATGGAAACTATTTTCGGTGTAGTTTCAGGTGCCATATAAATTTTTATGTGAAATGTACGTGAAAACATCGAAAAACATAAGTCCGCCCACGGAAAATGTTAAACGTCAAGGTTTGTTTATATTTCGATAGTTGCGCTTTGCGATCCAGCGTTCTGCCAGACGATTATCTCTCGATGGCTTGGAAGCAGTTACTCAGAAACTCGCTCAGAAAGTGTGCGATACTGTTTTACAACATTTTTCGCATTTCTTACAGCTGCAACCTCAATCGTTCCCCAAAAAGATCCCCTTCATCCGGATGATTTCAAAAGTGCATAATTAAACAATGCAGGAATGTAGGTTTGAATGAAATTTTTCGAAGAGATAACCCTTTCGCCGAATAACATCGCTGCTATGGATCGGAATCCAACTAATCTCCGCTAACTGACAGTGTCAGTGATTTGCTGTCGGTACTGATGCAAGTTATTTCGATGGTCATCTATTCGCAAGGTCTGGAGAAGACTGGTCTGTTTTCAGACTGTTTTGACTATGTTTTATGAATTCGAGTGTCACTGGCCATCAATTCCACACCTTGTATAGACCAGGTTGTTTGATGGTACCCGTTCAGCCGGACATGCTTAATTTTCTAAAGAACTAAATTTTACTGAAATCGACTTCCCTTCGGTCGTTAGCATCGCTTGAAATTTTCACCCTACTTAGTTTATCATTCGAGATTTCTTTGTCATAAATTTGGCTAGGGTCACGCAATAACCTTTAACTCCAACGCAGGCAACGACTTTAATAAAATTAATTCCATTAACTACTGCTTTAATTACATTAATTACACAATGTAGAACATTAACTACTTTTTAACTCCATTAATTTCAGTTGAAATTTCGTAATTAAAGTACATTAATTACATTTTCAATACTTTTAATTACATTACGGATAGATAATTTTAATTACTATCATCAGTACTACTTCAAAACGCATTAATTACTTTAAGTACTTTTGATTGCATTTTAACTTCAACGCACCGGTTCTTTGTATTGCGTCTGCGTGCCCCTCGAAATTAAATTTCGAACTTTAAAGATGGATCATATAGTGAATACAAGCCAAATTTTGGCTTGTATTCACTATATGCTCCATCTTTAAAGTTCAATTTGTAAACAGAGGGGATTTTATGATACACTTTAAAAAGCCTAAAAGGAAATAATATATGCTTTTTGCTCTCATTTAAAACCTAATGGTTTTGTCGTTGCTATTATAATGATAGAACACGTTTATAGAGTATTTTATAAAGTCATTAATAAACTTCGCCAATGAAGTTTTTGATTGATTTTATAGCACAGTTTTATGGTGTGGTTGAGAGCTGCTTTAAAATTAATTCTAAAACAAGACAGTTCTTTACTTTCTCTTTAAATCAGCGAAAATGTGAATTACTAAGCATGAATGTTTTACACTTTGAAAAGATGTTTGTAATGGATTGTTCATTGCCATTATAAAACCATCATAAATCAGAATGGATGCCACATTATTGCAGATTTGTTACTTGGGTTATTTGTCCAAAAGTTAGTTTGATAACTTACATGATTACAAGCAAAGGTTTTGTTTATTAACTATATTTTTTATGTTTTTTTCTGGTCCTTATTTTATGTCCGATAACAAATAGGCTTGGTTCACCATGGCGCCGGATGGATGCTTCTAAACGAGGACAACTACTGTACAGACTGGCTGATCTTATGGAAAGGGACCGTGTCTATTTAGCTGTAAATATTAATATTGAGACTATTTCAGTAATGAGCGCTTGGTAACATGAGCTGTTAAATTCCAGAGTCTGGAGACACTCGATAATGGCAAACCGTACTTCATGTCGTATAATGTGGACGTTCAAATGGCTATCAACAATCTGCGCTATTATGCAGGATGGGCCGACAAAAACCATGGAAAGGTTATCCCTATGGACGGTGAGTTCTTTGTCTACACCCGTCACGAACCAGTGGGCGTCTGTGGCCAAATCATTCCGTGGAACTTTCCTATTCTTATGGCTGCTTGGAAGTTTGGACCAGCATTGGCAACAGGAAACACAATCGTTCTGAAGCCTGCTGAGCAAACCAGTTTGACGGCACTATATATGGCCCAGTTAGTCAAGGAGGCTGGATTCCCTCCGGGTGTCGTTAATGTTGTACCTGGATTCGGCGATGCAGGTGCTGCTCTTGTGCAGCACGATGATGTGGACAAAGTAGCGTTCACCGGTTCCACTGAAGTTGGTAAGAAAATTCAACAAGGTTCGGGCTTGAGCAATCTGAAACGAACTACTCTAGAGTTGGGTGGCAAGAGTCCGAACATTATTCTGTCCGATGCCGACATGAAGCATGCCGTAGAGACATCACACTTTGGTCTTTTCTTCAACATGGGCCAATGCTGTTGTGCTGGTTCGCGCACGTTCATCGAAGATAAAATTTACGACGAATTCGTAGAACGTAGTGCTGAGAGGGCAAAAAAGCGAACTGTCGGAAATCCATTCGATTTGACTACCGAGCACGGCCCGCAGGTTGATAAGGCACAATATGACAAAATTTTGAGCTTGATTGACACGGGCAAAAAGCAAGGCGCCAAACTAGTTGCTGGAGGAAACAAGTACGAGGGATTACCTGGCTATTTTATCGAGCCAACTGTCTTTGCAGATGTTAATGATGATATGACCATCGCTAGAGAGGAGGTATGTAGTTAGCTTTTATAATATTGAACATGATCAGCTACCTTTTGCTTCGATGAGTTGGGTTGGAAAAGACAAATTCACATTATAAATCATTATTTTCTTTATTAGATTTTCGGTCCTGTGCAGCAGCTCATCCGTTTCAAATCATTAGATGAGGTAATCGAGCGGGCCAACAACTCTGAATACGGACTAGCCGCCGCAGTCTTCTCGAAAGACATCGATAAGGTGAATTATATGGTTCAGGGACTTCGAGCTGGCACCGTTTGGGTAAATACTTACAACGTACTGTCAGCGCAAGCACCGTTTGGAGGATATAAAATGTCCGGTCATGGCCGTGAAAACGGCGAATATGGCCTGCAAGCCTATACTGAGGTCAAGAGTGTTATCACTCGTATTCCGGTGAAAAATTCATAAATTAGAAATTATGTTCATTTAATCACATATATGTTATCATAATCGTTCTGTGGCTTAACATGTTTTGGGTAAAATAAAAAGCACAAATATTTTTAAAACCCTTGCTCGTCATTTGTGAAAGAAACCTACCTTCTATTAAAAACTATAAATGTTTGCATTCCAAGTCACATCATGTAAATGGTACCAGCAATACTAACATTTCAGTTTAAACAGGATTCTTCCAGTTTTTTTTAGTGACCTTCAGCCAAACTTTGATATCTTCCAGATATTTCCACACAGCAAAAAAATAATTTTGATATCACGCAATCGTGTCAAAAATATATTGAACAAATAGAGTACCATAAATTAAAAACATATTCAGTTTGACTAAAAATATGTTTATTACAGGTTACAATATTCAAGAAGAGATACGAAAAATATCGAAAAAGGATAGAGAAAGAGAGAGAAGAGTATTCCACTACAGATGCCGATTATTCAACAAGACTCAACGAGAATCGAGATGACATTGATCCAACAGCAAGGACACAATGCATAAGCGGTGAGATCTAACTGATTACAACTAGGGCCTGTTCATAAACTACGTAGACAGTTTTTTGGGATTCTTGACCCCCCCCCCTCCCCCTGCGTAGACAATTGTCCATACAAAATTTTTTAAATTTGTATGGGCCGTGGATAGTTGTCCACCCCCTTCCCCCCCCCCAAACTGTCTACGTAGTTTATGGACAGCCCCCTAGATATAAAATATGAAATGCATCCTACTAAATACAAAGCAGGAATTGATTTGATGATGGAAGTGTACACGCAGTACCAATATACATTTTATATCGGTACTACATGTATGCGGGGCTTGTTGTAAGTGAAAGTAACCTCGGAATGGACGTGAATGACCAGGCATTCTGAAATGGATTACTGAATCTCAACAGAGCTATCACTTTTCAACTTGCGAGCAACTTAGCTTCTTGAGACTAACTAATATATGTTTAGTTGAAAACAGAACGATCTTTTTCACCTAACAAACATAGAAGGCTGTTAGTTATGAAAGAAAATTTTCTTGGGTATAATGAAAACCATAATGTACGCGATGAACGCTTCCAATAGGAAAACGAACGTCGTCATCGAATGGCGCATCCTGATTGGCTGACGCAGCCGATGAAAGAGTATAAAAGTAAACAACATTGCATTTCATGTTTCAGCTCACGAACATCATCATCATTCTCTGCTTGAACGTCAAGCAGTACAGTTCGGTCTTTGCTCGCTCTGTCGAGTTGTTCTAAAGTTTCTAGTTTGTTCCAAACATTCGCAGTTTAATCGCGTCGTCAGTAGTGTCGGTCGCTTCGTGTGATGGGAAGACAGCGCTCCCGGAGCAGGCTCCGAGAGAAAACGGAGAAGAAGAACAGCGGTGAAGGTAGCTTGAGTGTACCTATTTCGAATAGGTACGCTACTCTTCCCACCGATGTAGGGAATCCCACCTCAGCCACGGTGAAGCGGTCTAAGAAGAGGAAGAAAAATCAAGGCCAGTCCGATGGTGCGAGTGGACGGGACGATGCCACCGCGACGAACGTCAGCGTCATTGGTGATTTTGCCGACGCCGTCGACAACGAAACTGCTGCCACCCCGAGTGCAGCAAAAATGAAGCTTCCTCCACTGGTGGTGAAGCAAGTCCCACTCAACACGCTGATTGGCGATCTTTCATCGCTGGGCGTTGCAGCTGAGTTTAAGCTCGGCAGGATCGGCACCAAGGTGATGCTCCGAACAAAAGCGGAGTACGAAGTGGCCGTGAAACATCTGAAGGATACCAAGGCGGAATTCTTCACGCACGACATCCCCGGTGAGAAGCCCTTCAAGGTAGTCATCAGGGGTCTACCAAACTTCGACCCCAAGATGGTCGAAGCTGAAATCAACCGGTACAAGCTTGCCCCAATCGCTGTCTTCCGAATGACAAGGAGAGACGAAAACGTGAAGACGTACCCGGATTGTCTTTTCCTGGTGCACTTCCAGAAAGGGACAGTGACGCTCAATGCGCTACAAGCCATCCGATCAATCTGCTCCATCATCGTACGGTGGGAGTCATACCGTGGCGGCCATCGTGACGTAACGCAGTGTATGAGGTGCCTCAATTTTGGACACGGTACCCGCAACTGCAACATCAAGCCACGCTGCAGCAACTGCGCTCAAGAACACGCCACTTCCAACTGCCCTGCGGATGGAGCCGTGGCGATAAAATGCGCTAACTGTGGTGGTGCACATCAAGGTTCCGACAGACAGTGCTCCAAACGCGAGGACTTCAAACGCATCCGAAAGCAGGCGTCAAGCAACAATCAACCAGGACGCAAGAAGGACAAAACCCCATCATTCAGGACGGAGGATTTTCCGCCTCTTCGTGCTCCCCAGCAAAGGCAAGCGAATTCGCGGGTGCAACCCGCCCCCCCTCAAGAAGCTTCCGGTGATTTTGCTGGCCAAAGCTCTCCATCCCCCCCTGGATTCTGGAGACAACCAACAGCGCAAAACTACAACCCCGATCTGTTCTCAGCGGATGAACTGATGGAAATTTTCGTCAACATGTCCGGTGCTCTTCGTAAGTGCCGCAATAAGCCCGAACAGATCCAGGTGCTCGGTAAGTTCATCATCCAGTATGGCGTCTAAACCGCTAACTATCGTCACCTGGAATGCTTGCTCTGTAAGAGCAAAAGAGATTGAGCTTGCTGACTTCCTCCGCAAGCACAGCATCGACGTGGGCCTTCTAACCGAGACCCATCTAAAGTCCGGCGACAGCTTCTGGTTGCCTGACCACAACATTATCCGGCTTGATCGCACCAGCTCCAGGGGGGGTGGTGTTGCGGTCGTCGTCAAGAAAGGAATAAAATACCACACTCTGTCCCATATTCGCACCTCTATCATCGAGGCCCTTGGTGTGGAGGTGGAGTCGTCGACTGGATACGTCCAGTTCATCGCCGTCTACTGCCCTCGACAGTGTGCCGCCAGCAGTGGACTAGCGGCTAAATTTAAGAAGGACCTGTCCACCATCACCCGTACCGGTTCCCGCTTCGTTGTTGGAGGAGATCTGAATGCTCGTCATGAGGCATGGCGGAACTACCAGCAGAACCAGAACGGTCGTCTGCTGTTCGACCATTCGCAGCATGGGCTGTACTCCATTTGGTTCTCGGACGAGCCAACATTCATCTCACCGGCAGGCAACCCATCGACGCTAGACCTGTTTCTTTCAAATACCGGCTTGTCCAAGCCGGTAGCCTTAAACGAACTCAGCTCCGACCATCAACCGGTGGTGGCTGAACTGGGATACAACGTAGCTGCTGCTCCAAGCCTGCGCAAGGACTACCATCACGTAAACTGGGCCCAGTTTGGACGCGTGGTAGACAGGCACATCATCGACAACCCGCCGCTTGACTCCGTGGAGGACATCGACCGAGCGTTGGAAGTACTCCACCAAGCCATAACCGTGGCTGACGAGGCGTGCGTCCGACGAGTTCCTGTGAGGGGTAAGTTTATTGCTATTGATTCCCACACCCAACTCTTAATTCGCCTGAGAAATGTTCGTAGACGCCAGTTTCAGAGGACTGGAGATCTAGCGAGGAAACGTGAAATAGCCAATCTGAACAAGGAGATTGCTTCCAGAATGGTCTCACTCCGGAACGAAAGTTTCGGGCGGCTTGTCCAGAATCTGGACGACCGCTCCAGACCATTCTGGAAAGTTGCCAAGGTCTTAAAGACGCACCCTAAACCCATTCCGCCACTAAAAGATGAAAATGATGACGATCGGCTCATAATCACCCCTCAGGAGAAAGCAAATGCGATTGGTGAGCATATTGCCAAATCGCACTTGCTTGGCTCCAACATCCAAAGTCCGCTCGAAGTTCAGGTTGAGCAATGCGTACTCAACCTTGATTCCTCCCCTTGTGCCATCCCTCCGGAGGATAGAATCACAGTGGAACAGATTTGCTCAGCGCTGAAATGCACCAAAAACATGAAGGCCCCCGGGTTTGACGGAATATTCAACCTAGTGTTGAAAAATCTCAGCATGAAGGTTCACTCTCTGCTGGCCGCTGTCTTCAACAGATGCTTGGAACTGCACTACTTTCCAAGTATCTGGAAGACAGCGAAAATCATACCTATCCGCAAACCCGGGAAGGACCCAACGCTAGCTTCAAGCTACAGACCAATCAGCCTCCTTTCAGCGCTGAGCAAATTGTTCGAGAAACTCATTCTCAATTGTTTGCTCAAGTTTGTCGAGGAAAATAACATTCTCCTTCCGGAACAGTTTGGGTTCAGAAAGGGGCACTCCACCAATCACCAGCTAGTGCGGGTGATGAATAACATCCGAAGTAACAAAGCTGTATCCAAGTCCACAGCCATGGCCTTGTTAGACGTTGAGAAAGCGTTTGATAATGTCTGGCACAATGGGCTTGTATACAAGCTTTGTAACTTCAACTTTCCATTACATCTGGTTAAAATCACCCGTAGCTACCTCCAGCAAAGGTCGTTTAAGGTATCGTTGAATGGTTGTCTTTCCGACACGTTTTCCATCCCAGCAGGAGTTCCGCAAGGCAGTCTGCTGGGACCCTTGCTTTACAGCATTTACACTTCCGACATTCCTCCCCTTGGAGACGGTTGCGTGTTTTTCCTGTTCGCAGATGATACCGCAATAGCCGTCAAAGGAAGGATGCCTCGCGAAATAACGAACAAACTTCAACGATGCCTTAACGCCTTTGCTGATTATGCCACCACGTGGAAAATCAAAATCAATGCTTCCAAAACACAAACAATCATGTTCCTCCATCGGCAATCACCCAAACTAAAACCGACTCCCTCTTGTACTGTAATCATGGATGGCACAAGGGTTGAGTGGTCCGCCGAAGTAACCTATCTCGGGATGTTGTTTGACGAAAAGCTCCTATTCCGCTCGCATGTGGAGAAAACCGTAGTCAAGTGTTCCGCCTTGGTTAGGAGTCTGTATCCGCTGATTTGCCGCAGATCCCGCCTCTCAAGGGTGAACAAACTGGCCGTCTACAAACAAATCGTAGCACCTGCGATCCTCTACGCAGCTCCGGTGTGGGAATCA